TTTTTTTTTTTTTTTGTATTTCTAATTGAAGTTATAACACTATAACACTGAAAAATGTTTCATTATATTCATAATTTTTTTGTGAAGTCTTCTTCTCAAAACGGTATTGATAATATCGACGTTATTTTTATCTTTTGAATATAAAAAAAAAAAAGAAAAAGAAGAATAGAAGAGTAGAATAAAACCTAGGAGTATTGAATGAAATTTTTGGTACAAATTTTTTTTTTTTAAAGAAAATTCACATTTAAGAAGATAGATAAGATATAGATAGATATTATTGACCCATACTACTAGAGCGCGACGGAGTGAACAATATAAGGGGAATAAGACTGTCTATAGTCAGACGCGCCTAGAACGGTCATAACCACAAATATATCTGCCTGTACTTTCTTACACGTGCAGATTTATTTCTAATACAAAAGACCTTTTTTACATTTACATTTTTATCAAAAAAAACAAGCAATAAATCTTCGAATTGAAAAGCAAATTTAATTTAATCAATCATTTACAATATTCATCATTGTAGAATGTTATTTTCAATTAACAAATAATCTTTAAACGAATAAAATTGCTAAAGAAAAGAAAAGAAAAAAAAGAATAAACAAATCTTCAAATTAAAGAATACATTCACCCAACAATCCCCAACAATCCCTCAAACAATTAAAATAAATATCGCGGGAAGAGAAGAAAAAATTATATATATCGAATCGTTGAAAAGAAAAGAACTTCGAAACAAACAAAATATCTCGAAAGAGAAAAGACAATTAACACCGATATCACAAGTACATCGATGAAAGGATCCATCCTTTTCATAATGAACTTACCAATGAAAGACTCAGCACAATTAATATTACCTGTATATACACTGTATATATGTTCTGCGAGGCTATGTAAGTTAAAAGGAAATGTTACAGAATATAACAGAGGGAGAGAGAGAGAGAACTACGACACAGCGATATTTATGTACGTATATATAGAAAACAGGCACAGATAGTGACACTGCAGACATCGAGCTCGTACGCGAAACATATCTTTGGTAACACAGAAACAATACATTACTCGACGACAATCGTGTTATATATATATATTATATATATATATATATATATATGTTATATATATATGTATATATATATGTATATATGTATGTAGACAGATGTAGACAAAAGTCGTCGAATATGGGAGTATAGGCATGTATTTTCAACTACGTTCAGCAGTAAATCAAGCAAACAATGAACGCGACGGGTAGCGACAATCGGTTGTTTACAAGAGGGGTTAAGGTAGAAACACCGCAGCTTGACGTATAATCGTATATATATAGTATATAGTATATAGATAAATATATAGGTAATGATATTGTGAACATGAGGAAACAGATCTCGCAAAATACGGCACTGCAGCTACGCAAAATAAATGTACGATCAAAAAATAAAAAAAAAAAAAAAAAAAAAAATAGAAAAAATATCTCAAAAATACGAACAGTAAATATTGTATAAAACGTCCATTTCAGGGACACAATATCAATTGTATCAGTAATCTTAAGATCGATTAATATTTATTTGTTGAAAAATAATTGTTAAAATTATTATTTTAATAATTAATTTCTCGATATCAATTTTTCAATAGAGTCAAGGTTAATTTGATAATTCTTTTTTTTTCTTGTTTCTTTCCATGAATATTAATCGATTCTTAAGTAAAAAAAAAAAAAAATGTAATTACTGGTCTTACTAAAAAAAGTCTATAACGCACTTAATAGCGATGCATGTACGTTTCGAGGTCTCGCTATAGAGATCTGCAAAGTAGAACAACCTGTGTATCGATGTTAATAAGCACGTTACGTAGAACGATCGTGGGTGTCTTCTTGGAACTCGTCTAACTGGAAACGCGAATCACCGGATAACGCGATTCTTTCTTTCTCATTTCTCTTTTTAAATCGATTTTTTTAACGATTATCCTACAAATATATATCGAGGTATACAGAGATATTTCGTTCACGTTTACAGTGTCAATGATCGCGTATTTTTTTTTTCTTTCTTTCTTTCTTTTCTATATACGTGGAATAACACGTAAAAGGATATGTGGTTTTATGGGAGATTTGAGTTGGATGCCAAGATCGATTTGCGCGAATAATCGACAAGAACGATTCACGTGGCTCCCGGAGACTTCTCTTCTGCTTCGATGAATCGTGTCAATCCCTCCGTTGTAAATCGACATTAAACAGTGGCACGAAATTTCCACGAATCCATTTGACATCATCGAAATTGCATTTCTTCGAAATTTATAATCGAAATGGTTTATAATCCATTCGAATGAATACGTTGATTGAATCGAAGGAATTGAACAAAACACTTTTTTACACAGAAGAAAAGCGAAACGTGATGAAACGCGCCGTGGAAATCGTTCGTCGATTATATAAAAATATGTATGTAAATAATATATGGAAATAATAATATGGAAAATTTATGAATTATATATAGATCGTTTCGTGATCGAGAATGAAGATTAAAAAAAAAAAAGACAAAAAAAAAAACGAATCCCGATGGTCAGCCAACAAAGATCCTTTCGAATCGATGATGGCTGATCATTTTCTTTAAACAGGATGAAGGAAACACGGCCGCGTTCCTACCTCGCCTTCCGCTCTCTTCTTCTCGAGCTCCTTCTGCTTGGCATGTTCCTCGGCGATGCGAGCCTCGATCGCTGCCAGGGACTCCCGCGTGAACGGACGGAACAAACTTCTTTCTTCCTCTGATACAGAGTCAGAATCTTCGGACATTGTCTAAGCTGCACACAGCTGAGCCACCTTCCTGGATAATGACAATCGATCTTATTTTAATTACAAACATATAAACGTTGAATTATCTATATTTCGATATTAATTAATCCTGATATTAATAATAATAATACATCCTTGAACTCGAAGGATATTGCTTGATTTGATATTAATCTTAACTTTGACATTTTAAAAGTTGGTATTAAGGATAGGATAGGATAGGAGAAGTTGTTCGATATCAATTTATAGTAATAATCCTGACTGTTAATATCGTTAATTTTATAATATTTGATGTTGGTGAAGTTTTGAAAAGTGATTTAGTGAAAAAGGAAAAATAACAAATAATATTGATTGTTATAAAAATGAATGATAAGCTTCTGTGAATATTTCTTTTTTAGACATTTCTGCGCTAAGCGAAGAAAATCTTTTAACTTTTAATCAATAGTGATCAAATGTATCAAGGTATTTCTTTAAAGTAGTTATATATATTCGTGAAACTATAAGCTTATATCCCGAGTCTAAGGAAATTGTAGGCCGAACTTATTTCTATAATGGGATGGCACACTTCGAGACCCCTCTTTCCCAACTCTATGTCTCAGACCACTTAGTAATAAACTTCACGATGTTACGATATCGTAGAATTTCGTGTTAGGATGTCTCAAACGCGAGGAATTGGAAGGAAGTACGTGTAAGCATGCCCCTTTATATCTTAAAACGCTTCAAATTTTTTTGACTCATCTCCAATTTGTCCCCATTTATATAAAACTAAATTTTTATTTTCGAGTTTAAAAATCGACTATAAAATATAATTATCAATTACGGATTATCGATTTCGAAAAATTTTCTTTTCCACGAAATTTTCTTTTGAAAATTCATATTCCTCTCTCATATTTTTTTTTTCTTTTTAACGTGAAATTAAAATTTTTTAAGAATTAATCCACTTTCGAGAACACACGTAGAGAACAATTATTTATCAGTATTAAAGAATCCTGTAAACTGTACTCGACAGATTGAAATATTGCAATATCGATGCACGACAAAGAACTTTAACTTTTTCCAATCTGTCGCGACATCCCGATTTGTCTGGTGCACTTAAAAATTGGAGCACTGCCAACACGAGCTTTATCGTATTGAAACGAGAAGCCCCGATGTAGGATCAGCTCCAACTTAATTATTAAACATTGTGTTATTGAAAAGCCATGAACAATGTAAGGGATAAAACCGTGTTTAAGTCGCAGGAAAGAAGACACTAGTTGAATCTTGATGAACTTTTTTGTGAATTGCGAATTAAGTCGGAAATATGAAGAATGTAAATCTGCATTCTCTCTGTAGTTAAAGAATGACTCGTTTCGATGATGCATTCAGAAAGATTATAATATAATGATATATTACAAAATTTTATAATTTCATTGTTTGATATTAAATTTGCGAATATAAAAATTATTAAGAAAACTAAAAAAGTCATAAATCATATCATTTCTTTCTATATTATGTAAAAAGTTTCATTAATTTGTAAGATATTTAAAATTTCTTTCGAATGATCAAAGTTTTCCATAAATAGATATACTAATGCCTCGTTCCTCAGAATGCTTGTAAGTAGAAATAGAAAGTTCATTAAATATGCATGAGATTTATCGAACTTTCAAGCTCATTCAATGTTCTCAAAATGTGTTAGGACAGATAGTAAAACTAATTATTTATTTTTCTTTTTTTTATATGTATATAATATTAATATATTCGTTTTATTTATATAAAATATTTTATTTAAAAAAATAAAACAGAATTATATCTTCTAAGAACTAATTTTTCAAATAATTTTAAATTTTAAATTATAATTTTTATAAATTTTCAATTATACTTTAGTAGAAGTATTTTTTCTATTATAGTTTTTTTCCATATATATGATATAAATACTGTATATTGTAGTACTATACCATAATTATTTTTGGCTGCTATCATGCTGTCCTGTTTTCATTTCTTCCACTCTATCACTATATTTTTATAGCCAGAGCCAAAGATTTCAGTAACAAGGACATTAATCTATTTCCCCCATTATATCTTTTTCTTATAAAAGAGATAATTCTAAAAGAATAAAAATCTATAAAATGACCATTTACAAAAATAATAAACTATAAATTTATATATTTAAATTTATATATTGATTAAATTTTCATATAAAATTGTGAATAATTTATCTATAGAATAAATATTAAAAAATCAGAATAAAATTATTAAAACCATTAATTATTGTTTGTTTAAAATTTTAAAATTAAATTTTAAAAGAATTCATATGTGTTAAAAATAAAAAAATAAAGCGAGATAAAATGAGTGGAGTATCCTCTTTCCTTTGTGCCATCCTTCTCTCAAAATGATATATAGTTTATGTCGATTCTGAGAGCACGTAGTAAAAGTATTAGCCCTTTGCGATCCTACATCAAGTTATAGTTGACATTTCATTCCTTTCGCTTGTAATAAATAAAAATGAAATATGATATAATTCCATTTATACTATAAATATAATCTAATTAACAATTTTTTGAACAATTTTTTTAAACAATAAATTGTATTATATTTTTTAATTCTACTTCAACATCGAAAACTATGTAATTTTGCTTTATTTTAGAGATCGCCATGATTAAATCCAACATCAAATACTACGTACAATTAAATAATAGCAAATAGTTTTTGAGGATAATTTCCTAAAATCAAAACTTCAAAGATATTCAAATTACAAACAGTTTTTAAAAAACAATTATTGGAATGAAAATTTCAAACAGCTTTTTGTCTACCTCTCTAAAAGCAAAATTTCAAATGTATTCAAATCGCAAATAGTTTTCGAATCTATCCATCTCTTTGAAATCAAGATTTCAAACACGCATCCTTTGAAAATGTAAATCACCCGGAATGAAACGTCAAACGTAATTTATCCTCAGGCCAGAAAGGATTAATCGCTTTACAACCACGAACGAGATATCCCGTGACACAACTGTTGTTCGTACAACAGTTCCACAAAGTATCTTGCGAATTTGAATATCGATCATCGAACTATAAGAACTAACAATCTCGCCGGAATATCTCGTCCATTGTATATCTCTCTTGTATAAACCATGCTATATCTTCGAAATATCTTCGCGATTGCGAGCTCCCCTTTATTCAAATCCTCCGGCCAATTCGAAGATACTCACTTTTGATCGGTGCTAACAGTTCCTGAAGTGTAATGTGCGCGTGTCCCACGATGCGGGGGGGTAATAGAGTGGCTGCTGCGGTGGCTGCGGCTGCGGCTGACGAGGACGAGACCGGTGCTGAGAACCGCGCGACTTGCCGGCTAGTGGCCGGTACCTGGTCGTCGATTCGGGACGCGTCGTGCCGTCGAACCGATTTGACGACGCCGTTACGTACGATCGGACGGATAAATTCGACTCGTGCAGCACGTCGACTGCCGATCTACCGTTTCCCCTCGTTCCCCTCTTATACTTTTCGATCGCCGTGACTCTGCCTCTACCGTTGATACTTTCCCTGTTGATTCCACTACCGCTACTTCTAACGTTGCTCCTTTTCACTTTCACGCTAATACTTCTGCTTCTGATGTTGCTGCTGCTATCGTTGATGATGATGCTGTTGCTGCTGCTGCTACCTGAATCTCGTTCCGACGAAATGGCGACGAGAAATGACGAACGCGCTGCGGCAGTGCGTGCTATGTCGGGGACCGTCCAACGCGAACCAAGATTTTTCATGTCCGACCTGCGATTGCACAATGTACAAGTGTGATGATTTTTCATCGAGTTTCAAAGATAATTGGTCGGTTATGTTAGATTAGATTAATTGATTTTGTAGTTTTCTGGGAAAATCATTGTAAAATGTTGGAGGTAATTTTTTTTTTATATTGCAAGAATTTTATTGGACAGAGGACCAATGAATGTATGAACGTAAATTATGATTCGAATTAAATTTTTAAGTTTTTAATTCTGAAAATTAAAGATATCTGTTGAAATATTTAAAATATTTTGTAAAATTTTGCAGGATTTTTTATTTATGGAGATTACGATATTATAATGTGATGATGCATTTAGGATTTTCTAATATGTTCGTGAAAGTATAAAGTTTATGTAGAGTATTATATTGTTTTAAAAAAAAAATTATTTTGTTGCTATAAATTTTTAGAATTTTTAGAATTCTATCCTATAATTTTAATTGGTGAAAGAAAATTACCATAATGTTATTAATATAAACTAGTATAAACTACATAATCTATTATTCACTGATTGAGTGCAAGTAGATTTGTACTACCAGTGAACAATTCAAAAATAAAATCTATAGTTTAATCATTAGAAAATACTCGTACCATAAATTTTTATATACTTTCTTAAAAAATATATATAGAAAACAGTTAAAATTAAAATCAGATACTAATTGATTAATTAGACAAATTGTCTTATATAATACTCACGTGTGAATGAAGCGACGGGTGCGATCAATCCGTTATTCGATATAACATAGTCTGATCTTCGAGTCGATCGATACTTATCTATAACAAAAATAAAAATCTACATTAGAAACAGTGATCTATCTTTAAAATCCACCAAAAAATCATATATATATCAAAAAATATATATATAAATATATATATATATATTCTGAAGAAATTTATATAAATTTACATTTAAAACATGAAAAATTTCTATATATTATGAAACGTATTTAAAAAATATAAAATACTTATAAAAAGAAACAATATACCGAAATAATATAAATTACTAATAACACATCTTAAAACGATAATGTGAAAATGAAAATATCCAAGTATTACAAAATAAATATAATAAATAACAAAAATTCTCAAAAATGTTTTTTATCCGTGATAATTCTCTTGTCAAACTAAATAGCATGTACTAAAAATAAAATAAGAAAAAAAAAAAATATCGGAATAAAGAACGTAAACCAACCTCGAGGATCGTATATATATATATATATGTATACGCGACGTTTTCGGGCGGAATATCTTTTGGCAGCGAGCAGCCACTCGAGAGTTTTGTCGTTCGTAAAAAAGTGCGGCGTGTTCACGCATATTCCCAACAACAAAAATTTATACACGGAGCATGCGATATAGAAGCGGCTCAAGGAAGGGTGTCGGTGGTCTTTGACCGAGTTTCGTGCGGTCGATCATATTCCGCCGGAACTCGGTCACGCGCTTATGCATCGGTGTCGTCGCCGCGGCGCCAACGGGCGAACCCGCGCACTCCCATACGCAAAGCAGGAAAAGTAAGAGTGAACGGTTGATTGCCAGTGGTACGGGTATACGCAGGATCAAGCCGCGCCGAGTGGCCGGCCGAAGAAGGACGAAGATGCCCGAACCAATTTAAAGACGACCACGAACTAACAATGTACCAGAAAGGAAGATCGACTGTGATTCGATTACGCTAATTGTGTCCAATCTTTATCTAGAAATTAATGAATCTATAGATTATGCGATAATATTAAATTTTTGTTTAGAAATGTTTAAAAAATGTTAAATTAGTCAATTTTTACTTCTTTTTGTTTATTATATCGATAATATTATAACAATATTTTTATAATTTTTAAAATATAAATATCGAGCACATGGCATATTTTCTTTATCTAATTATTTATTAATATTTGTTATCAAGTTTATGAATTATGAACGAAGTATTTTCCTTAAGATCAATTTTAATTATTTAATTTATATTTAAAAAGAAATAATAAATTGCAATTTATTACTAATATTTTTATAAATGGCATTTTATAAATAAAAGAAAGTGAATAATATATGTGCAAAAATTTAATTTTTTTATTTCTCACAAAATTTTGCAATTTTGACTATATATCTTTTTATCATATAGATTTTTACAATTGTATCAGTTTGATGCCAAGAGATAAATTAAGAGCTTGGAAAAAGAAGAACTGAATGAGGGTTGATCTCTTGAGAGATATTGGAATGTACACTCTTATTTAAAAGTCATAAGATACTTATTATATTTATGAGAATATAAAACAAATTATGAAGGAAATATATACTATTACTTTTTTATAATTAAAATTCACTCTTTATATACCAAAAATAATCTAAAATTTAATTAAAAATGAAAACCTATAATTTTTTTAGCAATTTTTTTAATATAAAAAATATGAATATCATTAAAAAAAATATATTTCTAGATTTAATGTCAATTTTATTTTAACCGTGAATTGTTTTTCACTTTTCCTAATGATAATTAATTATCTTTCTCTTTTCTAATATTTGGCATTGAGAAAGTGACAGTATTTTGAAATAATATGAACATATCGTGAAAAGTACAATAAACATTATGGAAAAAGAGATACATAATCCGGCGACATGGAATGCGATGAAGCTCAATTTAATTGCCTATTGCAGCTTTTATTCTGCGGATATATGACTACAATAAAAACGGCAGTCTGCCAACACGCAGGCTAGGAGAGAAACGGGGTCAGGTATGTCTACGGTAAATCAGCCTTCATCGAGGAATCAACAAAAGCATTCGACGTAACAAGAGCTCCCTGTTAAAGAGTCTAAACACTCCGATTTTTTTTTTTTTTTTTTTGTATGTACGGAGTATGAATTTGCAAGGACGCTTTAGAAATAGCAATTTATAAGAATACCATTGGAAATATTCGGATTACATCGAAATACTACCATCTCGTGAACTGAAAATTACAAAAATGATACTATGATGTATAAAAATCTCTGCATTATCTTATAAATTCATTAAAAATAATAACGATAAGTATCTTAACCAGCATAGAAAATTTTATTCTATGAAATTTGTACCATCAATATTACTTACTCTCTACATATAAGATCAAATATTATACAAACATCATGAGAAAACCGTTCCGAACAGTTTTTTCGAAAGCTCGAATCGTGAATCAATAAGCAAGTACTATAATGCATATAGCGAAACGAATACACGATCTATTTCGATATTGGCATCATTCGAATAAAGGATATAAAAGAATATAAAATCTCAATCTGTACTCTAAAAAATTCGATACGGAAAACTTTCGTTTCTTATATTTAATCACGAACGGACTAATTCGCGGTATCCGGTAAGTATGTAACGCGGAGGAAGATAATCTGGCAAAAGTTTCGCACGTGAAAAACGTGATACATATCGTGGCAAGTACTGCATTCTCTGTAATTGCACGGCTGCCATCTTGATGGAGAGTACGGCGGAAGGTACAGTGGCGCTACCGGAGGAGGAATAATGTAGGAAAACCGTTTTCTCCACATTGTGGTATGGCACAGTAGCGACCCAACACCAATGCCGACATTGCGTGACGTCACGAACCAGGCCGGGTACGTTGCGGAAAAACGTTGTCATGACGACGAGTGCTGACGCTACCGTCGCCGCACTGTCGTCGTTACCACCACCATCCGGCGATCTCACATCTACACCAATGCCAAGGATTGAAAATAGGGGGAAGGATAAAGAACTGTTTTTCTATCTACGATCTCTTCTTAATCCCTTAATTCAACCGTGTATCGGTCTCCGATCCGGAAAGTGCCGGACATTCGGATGAATCACGAATGTAGGTCATTTGGTATGGATTGAAAACGATACTGAAGAGAATTGAAAGAAATTGATATAGGGAACGTAAGAAAGATCAAAGAGTATAAATAGGAAATAAAAATATTTTGATGACTTAAAAAAAATTGAAATTAGAAGTTCATGTATTAAATGAATATGTATATTCGAAAATAGAAATGAGAATAGAAATTAGTTAGTGAAAGAAATATAGTAAGATCGTGATCATTAAAATCTTAAAAAAAATAAAATCTGAGAAATATAGAGATAGATAAAAACAGTAATGTATTATAAATTAAATTTGTATATAAATAAAATTGAATTAAAATTATTCCTTTTTTATATATGTTTTTATTTCTTATTTACAAAAATATATATAATGCATATATATTCTATGTATCAATTTAAATAACATTTTATATTTTAAAACGTTAAGATTCTTTTATAGAGTGCATATATTTTTGAATATGACTACATCAATTGGTATCGTTTCTTAATTATTTTAATTTATAATTCTACTATATCGATTTTACCTGTTAATTACATAATCATAACTTTTGAAGTAATAACATTCTGAGATTTTAAAATTATAAAAATAAAAAATTATATATTGTATATTTGCAATATTAAAAAAATTAGAAAATTTTAATATAGAGTTTCAACTGGAAATAATTCATGATAAAATGAAATTTGTTAATAATTTTTAAATATGATAAAAAAATATTAAAAAATTGTTTAAAAAAATATAAAACTTTGAAAGAATAAAAAAGTACATTTATATTGCGGTATAATAATAATAAAATATTAACATTGGTGTTGTAAACGATGTGAAGAATAAGTTGTACGTAAAAAAAAATATAAGTACGATGGCAATAGTAGAAAATTATTTTGCATCATCAATGGAGGACGACTAATAGATTATTAGGTGTGCCTGTTGTTTTAGCGTGACATCCCAAAGATTGCTATCGTGTAAATATCACCAAAAGCTAGAATCGATAATCAATTAACGCATATGAACAACTAACTTTTTAACCGAGATTAAATTTTTCATATACTTTGAAAGTCATTATGAAAATCAAAGAAAAAATTTAATTAATACAGAATTGAACTTAAATAACGAAATTTAAATTATTTAAATGTTAATATCTTTAAAAATTTGTAAAATTAAAAAATCTATTTAAGAAATATTAAAAAATTAATATCTCTAAAAACTTGCAAAATTAAAAAATCTGTTTAAGAAATATTAATATATAATATATATAAATATACATATGTATTAAGATATTATCGATGATATTATTTTAGTGTATATTTAAATAAACTATTTTTTCAAATAAAATATCCAAAAAAATAATATCTGGAAAATTTATATTTTCATATTTTATATAAACTAAATTTAAAAAGTATATAAATCATATCATGATGTTAACTAAAATATTAAGTATATAATGCAAATTGTTGCTCTCACGACATCAGCTGCACTGACACGACCCACAAAAGACAAAGTATATCTGAAACTAAAGTATAGTGCAGAACAGGGCCATGCGTTCTTGCGAGGACAATCGATCGATTGCCCCTTTGCCTGCCTGCATGCCTGTCTGACTTCTCTTACGGATTTTCACTTGTCACTACACTTTAGAAACATTAGCCAACAACAAGATGCGATCTTGATCAAGTATTCTTCATTAATCGATAGAACCTTGAACTCTATATCATTTTCTCTATATATTTCAACATCTTCCTTTCCTAAAGGAAGGCTGCGAAGCCCTTTCTAAACTTGTGTCTTTTATTTATCATCTAATATTAGATCGAAAAAAGCAAATAAAATTATTATTTTGTTTATTATCAGAATCAAAGAAAAATAAAATATTTTAAATTTTCATTAACAAATTGTGATATATATTTTTTTAGAAGTTTGTAATAGAGAAATAAAGATATTAGATATTATTGTCAATCGAAATGAAAAGTTCAATAATCTTATTAAGCTGAACTTGTATATTCAGAAGATATATTATTCAATTATCTGTCTGTTTGAAGTTTTAATATGCTACGACTTGAATGCTGTACTATTTTATAGGTTTCGTTCTTTAGAATGATTTAATTGTCTTACTTAACATTTGTTAAAATTTTCTATTTGCCAATTGAGAACGATATTTATAATATATCAAATAATTTAAAATATTTAAAAAGTACTAAAATTAATATTTAAAAAATATATATTTAACAAATAACTAATAATAAAAAATATTAAAATGTTATTTAAAAATTATTAAAAGAATGAATGAAAATATGAAAATTCTAAAAAATATTCAAAATATTTAAAAATAATATTAAAAAATTAGAATATTAAAATCACTATTCATTATATTACAATTAATTCATATTTTATGTTATTATTTAACTCCATTGAATGATTGCTTTTAATTATATCAAATTTACTAATTCTAAGATTAGCTATAAAAGAGTTAGGAAATCCCACAGGGATACTCTATATTAATATCATAAATTTCAGACTGACACATACCAACGTTTTGAGTGCAGTTCTGCTTAGAACATTGTGTAAAGCATATCGCACCTGTTGCGTTTGCTCGTTCAACGTTTGCCCTGCAAAATCTCCCTCCTTCTTTTATCACCAACTTCGTTAATGCGCACGCGCATAGTTTTATAGCACCGTTGCTTATCATGGCGCATTCAGAATTTGTGCGTTGTATCAAAGCATTTTTTGTATAAACATTCTAGTTATAATTCCTGCAGATGCAATATCATTGTTAAGAAAAATCAAAAATTCTTTGATTCACAGATTCACAGATTCACAGATAATAAAGGTAATAAATTGATTTGAAACGAGAATATTTTAATGGATATTAATTAAGACTGATAATTTATTAATTAGAATGATTTAGTAGGATTACTAATAACAGTAATTTCATGGTTAGACTTAACAATTAAATTATTAATAATTTAATGGTTAGAATTACTGGTAATTTTATGATTAATTATTAATTTCATAATTATCAATTTGTTAGTGGATTAATTAGTTTAATTAATTAGAATTATAGATTATTAGAAATTTAGTATCTAAGACAAATGTTAAAATAATTTTCTTATTTCAAGTTTATTTAAATATTATACATATTTTGAAATAATGAATTCCAGAAATTTACTGTTTCCAATATTAAAAAATTTGAAATTAAAATCAAAAATCTAGAACTACAACTCTCAAGCTTGATTACAATTGCAGAATATTAAATGCTTTGAAATTGCAATTATAAAAAATTGTATGCTTTGAAACTGCAATTCTAAGAAAATGTAAACTTAAAGATAGTATATCAAATAAAAATTTTATCCTATAATTGCTAGTTACAAATCTTATAATCAAAAACTGTAAATTATAAGTTATTTTTAATTTTATTTAAAAATAAACTTTAAAACTTTAACTTTTATTTAAAAAAAAATTTCCATATATGATTCTAACATGCAAAATAAATAAATTAATAGATTGAAATGGATAGAAAACTGTTGCATGCCAAATGCTAACAAGTAACGCTTTTACAGGAATTGCATTTAATGAATCGAAATATCAAGGATAAGAGAGGGGACAGAAGGTTTCGAGAGCACAAGAGAACGTTTAAGTCGAAGAAATCGACTTTGACGTCATGCTTTTCTCGCGCGACGAACGGATGGGAAAATACGCTTCCTTTTAGCCACAGACAATGTAGCTTTGATATGACCTTTGACATTACACGGTTATACTATCGATCTTTTATTTATTAAGCTAAATAGTTCATCAAATTTTAAATAATGTAAATATATCCTTCTCCAAGACACATGTACAGACCATTTGATTTTACATAATATGTATATTCATAACCTAACAAGTAAAAAATGAATATAAAAATAACCTAAAACTTTTACTTTTGATTTTATCCTTTCATATATATATATATATATATATATATATATATTCTAATAAAATATAAAAATAAAAATATAGTGAAAAAATAAAAATATAGTGATATTTTGACATATATAACAAAATTTCCAATTCTTGTCTTAATTTGGAGGTTATGTTCAACGATCGAGAATTTGCGGAAAGTTGATCTTTCTCAAAAAATCCAAAATGAACACAATTCATGCGTTTTTTTCACATCAAAGAAAGTCTCAGTGAGTCTGATGGTCGTGCATGAGGCGGTGATCGATACCATCGCACGACTCTTAAGCGGATCGTGCACGTCGTATTGACCGGCAATTTTCGCGCGGAGGAAGGTCATCACGAGACATACAAGAACACAGAGTGAGCATACAAGGAATACGATATAACCGGTATATAGTGTATGCGCCAGGAAATACGACCTTCATCGCCACGAACACAAAGGCAGCTGAAGCTATTTCACGTGCGACTAATCTCGAGAAGAGAGAGCAAAGAAGAAGAGCAAGCGCTTATCGTCATCGCGAGAGTGAACCCCTGACTGATCCCTGACCGAGGCAGTTATCGATCGATATATCGAGAATGGAACAGCAGTCGCGCGTCACGCTATACGTAGATATATATCATTCGTATATGCGTGTGTCTTTCTATGTGTGTATGTGTGTGTGTGTGTGTCACTATACATTTATATGTATATGTCACTTTACAATTCGATTCGTGCTATCGTGTCTAACCTAATCGAAACTGTATAGTAGTCACGGTAATTGATTATATATGTATATATAGTGAGAGAAAGCAAGAAGATTCACACGTAAAATAAAATATATTTTTCACATCATGACATAAATCGTCCTGATATATAAAAGTGAAAAATTTCATTAGCAATTAAAACACGAAGAAACGATAAATGTATAAAAAAAAATACATTGCAACAAAGATAATTTATTATGAGATAGACTTGTATGGTAGCGCTGTTAGCGCCTCCTTCAAGAAGCACACGCGGTTTCCAAGTGGTAAAATCAACGAAATATCTTACACGTTGTTTACCCTAATCAATTCATCAACTCACGTGAATCATTTTGATAAGTGATTACTATCGAATGAAAATAATTCAATTCAAAAATATTCGATTCAAATTTCACAAAAAAAGTATCCAAAATAAAATGCATAAACAGTTTAAAATTTTTTTTTCACTTACAATCGAGGAGTTTCTCTGGTAATGTAGGGATAGTCGTAGCTTGAACGAAAAAAGCACGACGTAGCGATATGGAAAAGAGGCACTGCGACGTCGAGGAGGGGCGGGTTCTGAGATACCTCCGCGGGCCTTACTTATTCAACTTCGGCAAGGATAGAGCACACTATCAAGCAATGACACTGTAAACTGAACACACACCGTACATCGACAAACTTTTCTGTCTTTTCCGTATACGTGCGTGTGTGTTTATGTGTGTCTCTTTCTTTTATTCTCTTCTTTTTCTCTTTTCTTTCTTCCGTTCTTTCCTTGTTTCTATTTCTTTTCACAACGATTATAGACGATAGACAATGAAACGTATCCTAGTTTCTCGAATATCTTTTTAGACTTTTCAAGAATTCCAACGAATTTCTTCGTTCCTTTCCTAATTTTCGTTCTTCCGCTTTTTCTTCTTCCTTCTTCTTCGTCTCTTTTGTTCTTCTCGCGCCTCCACCTCCTCTTCCGACACCTCTGTTCTTCACCGCAGCGGCAAGGACCCGCCCCGTGTCGCGCTACACAAATGTGTAGTGGATAAAGAGAGCGTAAAACTTGCTCTGCGACAACATTATCTGGCCGGTTATCGGTATCTCGCTGCAGTCGTCATTTCTTCCTTTCCTCCAGTCTCACCGCCCGCGTCGCAACGAAAATTGATCGCGTTGCGCGCGACGGTCCCTTCCTGGGGGACAGACCCGACGCGTTCTACTACTCGCACCGCTGTCACCCCGTAATACAGCTTCGTCTGACTACGATCCTTCCGTCTTTCCTGCCTTCCTGCCGTCCTTCGTACCCTTAGCTTTCCTTACCGAAGGACCGACCAGGTCCTTTCCACTTCCTTTATCTGCCAGTTCCTTCTGGCACATAGACGCGCGCGCGCGCCTTCTCTCTCTTTCTAACACCCGTCTGTCTCTATCGTTACCCCTCCCTCTCTTTCTTTCTTATTCCCCCTTCTGTTTCCCTCTATCACTTATACCTCCTACCTAGCACTTTCTCACTCTTTCTTCATCCCTATATATCCCCCCTACTCGTTTATATCTCTTTCTCTCTCTTTCTTCCCGTAAACTCTATCTCGTTCACTTAGTCGCCACTAGCACTGTCTCCCGTTTTGTCAACGTTTTCCTCATCCGCATTCCTTCGTTTCGATCTTTGCTTTTTATCCAAGCTAATCTGGCCACGGGAATTCACCACCATCCACCAGTTCCCCGTTAACACTGAGTCTGAGTCTCTTAAAACACTCCGTGTCTGACGCACACTTTTATCGGCTAAAAAGCTTCTCTCGAGGACTGTGTCACGATTAGACAAACCCGACGCGGACGTTATTGCACCGCCACGCGCCAATCTCGCGCAGCGGACTCGACAGGAACTAGTTTCGAGGCGCCCCACTATATATCCGCACCATTCGCGACTCGCTACACGAACCACCCCTCTATCTGACCACCCACCACGTTCGACTAACCTGCGCGAGAGACTATCGCAACTACAAATCCGTACTCACCCAATGACAATTGCGATATACGCTTCTTCTGTATGAACCTTTGATTGAGCCCATTTCTTAGCTTTCGTCTCACTTCTCCACCATAACGTTTTCGAACGATCCATGGTAAGAATTATTCAGAAGGGAAATTTGTTTAATCGTAACTTTGATTTGAAATACAGTGAATACGAAGTTAATATCACGATTAGGATTCGTAAATTCGTACGTTCCTTGCTTCCGTTCCACGAATGGATCAATGAAAATGTACTCTTCCACTAACAGCACCTTACCCGCCACCCCTGTGATAGCGAGAAACACGGTACCACACCGCACCACCCTTACTATCTTCACCTAAAAACATTCGCCTGCCGCCTTTCGGAATAACCGACCGTCTCTGCAAGCTCGCCCGTAAAGCTTTCCTTAAGAAACTATTGGCTAGCGATTGTGCTGCGATCTTACTGTCATCCTGTCATCCGTCGCCATTAAGGTATCGTGTAGATTTCCACCCTTCTACAGCAATTATATATTGACAAGTTTATTTTTTGATTCTTTTACATTTTCTTTTTATATTTACATGTTTTATATATATATTCTATATATTTTTCGCTAAAATATTGATTTTGAATTCATTAAAATTTTAAGTATCAAAGAAAAATCAAAAAATTGTATTATACAAATATGTTTTTAGTTTAAAAAATAATTCTTGAAAATTGTTTTTTTATAGTTTATTATTACTTATATATAAATTTGTACATAATAATTTGTATACATTGCATTAATATATACTTCAAATTGATTTTCATGTATCAATTTGGAAATACGTGTAAAAAATATATGTGCTATATATAAATATAGGAAAATCTTTTTGTAAAATTTATCGGTGGTCTGTCGATAATACAACTAAATGTATATAGATTTCTATTAAACATTATTCAATTAGAAACTATGTACGATTTATAAATCATATTTTTACTGACTTAAATACGTCTCACTATTTCGTTTCGGTAATTTGGAAATACAAAGATATAAGCCGATTACTAATAAAATAATTAGCGGAAGGCCAAGACCAATTGAAATAATCATAATTACTAAATAAGAAAATTGTTCATCAGGAGGTGTACCATATCCAATCAAGAATGTCCTAAAAAAAATATTAATTATAAACTTATATATATTAAAAAATAAAATGAAGTGAAACTATGTATTATGAAATGAAAATGTGTATTAAAATAAAATTACCATGTAGAATAATATGTTTTTTTATAAAACCCATCTCCTTTTGTTCCTAATGATACAATAATTCTTTGAGTGAGCAAATTGTCAATTTTATCTCCATAATAACAATATAACATGGAATTCATAATAGCACTTGTATGATTAGATACTTTCAATGGTGAATATTGCATTGTTTCTGTAGAATTTGTTGTATCTCGAGATATAGTTGTATAAGAAATTGGTCTCCATTGCAAATAAGCTCCCTCTGTCTGGTAGTTGTCCATACTTTTATATGGTGGTGTTCTGACTTCAACAACCTAAAATAATATTAAAACAATATTAAATTTATTATTTATTTGTTTTTAATTCACTTATTTTTAATAAAGAGTAATAAAGAGTAATAAAAAACAATAATTAAATTACTAATACATTACTTCAAATATTCCAGGTGTATGTTCATCATCTAAACTTTTTTTTGGATTAATAAACATAGGAATATCAGGATTGCCTTCACCTGCCACCAATAATTCAATTGCAAATCTACTATTAGTAAAAGTTTTGTTAGTTTCTATATTTTGAAGGATAATATCAATTTGAGTAGAATTCTCAGTATGTAACATATGAGGCATAACTTCTGAATGATCAAGAGAACAAAATCCTATCAACTAAAAAATAAGTAAAACAAATTTTAATAAAATACATATTTTATATATACTTATACACAGTATGATATCTTACCGAAAGTTTTACAGTTCCATATCTACTGATATTCATAATACTATCATTATAATAGTTACCCTCCATATTTAATGTAACAAATTCAGTATTTTGTATTAAAGCTTTTCGATCCCATTGAAAAAACATAGGATGTATAACATTTGTATCTACAATATTAGTAATATTCATCATTGCTGTATCATTTTTATCATTGAATTCTATAATCTGAAAATATTATTCAATGTGTTAATAATAGTTATTTAATTATTTACGAAAGATTTAATATATACTAACCTTATTAAAAATTACTCCAAAAGTATAAATAGGTTCTTCTGTAAATTTTATGGAATTTTTTCTTTTAATAAAAAAATCTTCCCAGTTTATGTTTAATGAAGCTGAAGGTAAAGTAAGGGCTAAGAATACTGATGGATTACCATCAAAATCCCACAAATAATGTAAAGTGTCATTAGGGCCATCAGCTCTTAGGTAAACTGTTGTTAAATTTTTGTCTTTACATTTCGTGTCACAGTCATAATTCAGCCATGATCGTAACTAGTGCCAGGCAAATTCTTTTATATAAAAAAATGTAAATATATTGTTTGCAACTCAATAATTAAATAATACATAATTATAATTAATAAGTTCTATGAACCATACTTTACATCAATTACAATAGAATGAAATGATATTAATAAAATATTTTTTCACTTTATTTCTATGAAAAATATAAAAAATAAAATTGAAACAATTTTTATTATATATATGGGTGAATGTTATTATATAAAGAAAAATTTATTTTCAAATTTCCAAACAATTATATCATTATTAATCACTTTATTATTAGAGTTCTCACGTTAATTAATAAGTGGGTTATGGGAACTCGTGTTCCTCATTAAGTAACGTACTGCTCCCAATTACCATCGAATTGTTATTCAACAACGACGAATTGAGATATGACAATAATTTCTAAATCGACTCTGCCCGCAAGATAAAACAATCAGATGATGAATCATATTACGCGCGACCTTTGTTTTACCATTCGAAAAAGATGCTGATTCAAATAAATTAATCAAATCAAATTATTTATAATAATAATTAATAATAAAAATATATTACTTACAGTTCTTTGTGTACTACATCCAATTTCTATTAATGTAATAAATAAAAACAGTAATACAAAAACATTATTCATACTGTACGATATATATATATGTATATATATATATATAAAACAAATCAGAACATTTACTGACAACCCAACAGCAACTTTACTTATGACACTACTGGCTGTACTGAGGCACGATCGCTGGAATCAAAATGGATCTAAATGTACACTGCTTGCAGCGCCACGTTTGAGTTTGGAGAACTTGCAATTTAATTTTCCGAATAATCGAACTGCTGCAAATTTTACACAATATATATATATAAATTAATTTAAAAAATCCATCATAAATATTACATGAATATATTAATATATTTTGATAAATTTTCATTTATAAATGATTATATATCTATATAGATATTTTATCACAGATTATCACTAATTCTAAAATCTAGCGGAAAAGAAAATGTAAAGAATATATATTATTTTTGTTTTATACTACAGCAATAATGTCAAACATATATATATATATATATATATTTATGTAACCTAAATATCTTAATCAATAAAGCTTAAACAAGAAAGATGATAAGGCTAATCGAAAATCAATGCTATCTCTTAAACGCACAAATTTTGCAAAATAAGAAAAACAAATAAGAAAAAAGATAAATAGATATTTATATATTATATTATATTATACTCTAAATATCAAAAATAACTGTCTAAAATAAAATAAAATAAATTAGGGACTAAAGAATTAAGGACTAGCGTCATTTCTTAAATATTTTGAAAAGATATTTCTCAATGCAGTCGAGAGATGGCGCTAAATGTTAATTCTTATTCAATCTCTATCTTTTTCTTATTATTTGCTTTCTTTATTTATATAGTTTCATTTACGGCACTCTAGAGATGGCGCTGATTTCACAATTTTTACTCTATTTCTGTCCTTTTTCTACTGTTTATTCTCTTTGTTTACTATACAAAATTTATGCGCTCAAGAAATAATTTCAATTTTAGCATTTTCTTTGTTTAAACTATTGATTAAAAATTTTTTAGAATTTATTTAAATTACTATATCGTAAGTATATACAGTCTTGATCCAATTAAGCAATTGTTTTCAGATTTGAAATTAATTATTTATTATCTCTTTTTTATTTAAAATCATTTGCAAAGTGAAGATTCAAAAACAAATGAGAGATTCATGAAAGCAAAAAGTTATAAATATTTATGTGTATTCGGAATCAAAACAGAGTAAGAAAATATATTATATTCTATTTTTTTTTCAAAAAATAATATTGCTATTGATATAAGTTATTTTATTTTCTATTTTGAACTTTTTATTCGAATAAAGTTAAGCGGAATAATATATTTAATCTACAATAAGATCAAGCAAATTTTATGCTTATTTTGGAGCAAAATTGTACTTACTTGAATACTTACGTAAATATATTAACGTATTTCCAGTGAAACATTAAACTGTAATAAAATTTAAAATATTCTATGGCTGCATTTCGCGCCGAGAGAAGGAAACTCGTACCCCATTGGCTATTAGATTCCGCCAACGGTGGTGGAGTTACCAATCCTCGACACAGTATTTCAGTATTTTAGAAATTTAATATTCAAATTAAATAAATATTTCAACAAAGTAAATCATTATAAAAATATTAATTATAATATTAATTATAATAATAATATTTTAAATATTTCAGAATCAAATCTGTGGTAATGATAGTATTAACAATTGTATATAATGCTAAAAATTAAAAAATATTTTATTTCAATCGTAATAATATTTATTTATAAATAATTATATTAAAATGTTTCGCATTGGCAAACAATAATTGGCTCCTTTTCGGGACGCTGTGTACAGCCGAGAAAAGAGAACGTGTAAAAAGAGCATTAACTTGCAGACTACGACCTTGACCGAAGCAGTGTCCGCGCCTGAAGCACATACATATGTACTTACATACGAATGTTCGTATGTACGTCTAGCGTTTCAAGGAACTTTGTTCCTTCAGATTCTCACTGGTTACCTCCCTTTGTATGACATTTTTATATACATTAAAAATTAAGATCTTACGTTAAGAATTTTATATTATGATCAAATATAAAAAGCTATTTATTTTTAATATCGACATGATATATCTTTTTAATACATTTTTCAAGTTATTTAATAAAATATTGTTCTAAAAATTCAATTATTCATATTATTTGCAGCAGTTGTAGCCAATGCTCTTCAACGATACCATGTTGGAGGAAATCGGAATTCAGAATAT